CCAGTATCAGTGAGAGTGACTTTGACTCCAGTGCTCAAAGCTCATGGGAGAGGCAGAGCTCTGTGTTAACAGCTCATGTCCTAGAAGACAGACATCCAATGTTTCTCATCTCTCTGCTCCTCCCGAGTTCACTGCAATTTCTGGAAGGGTCATACTGGTATCCAGACCACTGGCCCTACTTGCAGTTGCAGACAGCTTGTTATTCCTTGATGAGGTGTGCTTTCCCCCTCCTCTCCAAATGTGGAAAATCTCAGAGTTCACAAAAAAGAGAGTGGGTGAGAAGATAAGGGAGTTGAATGACCTGTCACCTCCTGAACACACACAACCCTGACGCACGCAGAGACACAGACAGAGGGAAATCACTCAACACCTCCACGTGTGTACAGCAGGGATGTGTTACACACATAGATGACAGTGTTATGTAGAATATTTTCATCTGAAGTGATGGTGGGAGCTGCAGACTCCCAGTTAGCTGAATTTTTATTATTTGTCTATCCAGGACATCTAATGCTATTTTCCCCTTTGCCTGGCCAGGGTCAAATTGTGCTTTCATAAATACAGATATTAGGGCCAAGCTCTGCCTGATGTAGACACCAGAGACCAAGAACAGAAAAGACCTTGAACTCAGATGAGCCAAGCTGAGGAACGAATTTGTCCCACTGTGTTGGAAAAGCTTACATCAAATAGTTACATGATAGTGGTATTCAGGCTGACACTTAGCATGCAGGGAGCACCTCCTAATTCCCTTGAGATTCTCTCTCTTTGTCTTATAGAAACATGGGTCCTTAGAGAGCCCGACAAATGTGACAAAACTGGACTTGGGATAAGCTAAATGAAGGCTCACGTGTGCCTTTTGCTAGAAAAAGTGTCATCGATTTTTCTCTGATGTAAACGCTGCAAAGAATCATAGTCTGGTTTGGGTTAGAAGGGATCTTTAAGATCATCTAGTTCCAACCCCTGAAGCTAATAGATATTACTCAGCTTACTCCTTAACCAACAGGATGAAAAGCATCCAGTTCAGGGTTACAGAGCCCAGTGCTCTTTCCAGTTTCTTTATCTTTGCAGGCAGAAACTATGAATTCCCAGATGATGCTAAATTGGGCAGTGCTGTATACAGGAGAGGAGACAACCAAAGAGGACAGAGGGAGCTCTGGAAAACAGAAACATGCTGAGAAATTTGGGGGCTGCTGTAGTAAAGCTGTTCCTGAGCTCTGCTGAGAGAAGCTGACCTTAGTCAGTGGGGGAGGCTGGTATCAGGAGACATGGCAGTGATGGCTGGCATCACATCGGGCCCAATATAGCAGCAGAAAAACCTACCCATGTGATTTTAGGCTGGTTTGTAGACTGTATGAGATGCAACTTGTTATAGTGTAGAAATGAAACAGACTGGAGAGGTAGTGGAAGAGAGAAAGGGTTCTCATTCAGACTTTTCCCATCCTTTTCTTCCCTCTTCTCCCCACCCCGTGCCTCCCTGCCTATCACTTTCCCATTGCTCTCCTACAGTCAAGCTCTCCTGGCAGAGCCTTGCCTCAGCTTTTTGACAGTTTTGACCACTTAACTCTCTACAGCACCCAGACTGCGAATGCTTTCAGCTTTAGAAAGGGGCATTTTTCAGTGACTGTCTGCTTCCCACTGAGTACTACCTTGTCAAATCTCATTTCTTCTTTTTTCCAAATATCCGTAGGATTCTCTTCACACTCCAGCTTCATTGCTGTATCCTTGCCTCAAGTATTTTAATTTCTCATTCAGGGTGAAGTCTGGCTATAGCTTTTGAGTGGATTATTTTATATACTCAGTGTATGTACATATACATATATATATATATATATGCACCACCACCTCTCTAAAAACAACTCGTATTAAATTTGCAAACCCAGCTGTATGGAGTTAGGAAACGCTAGAGTTACTGTTCTCACTAATCTTAATTCAATCTTTTTGTGCCTGTGCCTCATAGCTACGAGTCTTTAACCACATCCTCACATTGTCACCTCATTCTTTGCACAGGATGCCTGCCTTGTTCTGTGCCAGCCTGGCTGGGCCTTTCTTGAACAGCAGCTATTCAATGTTTTGTTTTCTCCTCATTGTTCAGTGGGTGGCCTGTGCCTCATTTACTGTACATTATTCAAGTCCAATTCTAAAGACAGAATTATTAGTTTCCTCATGGGTTTTCCTATGGCTTTCATCACAACAGTATCTGATTGCTTCACAATTATTAATTTACTTATTTTCATTACCAGCCTGAGGTGAAGAGATGGTATTAGATCAACTTTACAGCTGAAGAACTAAGGCAGTGAGAGATTAAGATAAAAAATATTCATTAATTTTGGAAGCTGTTTGGCAGTGTTGCTAATCTGTGGGTTTTTTCAGTGTACTTAGCACTGTATAACATATGTTCAAAGCAGAGCTCTGTCTGGATAATGCTGGAGTGAGAGAGTTTATGGCTTCCACCAGTTGGGCCACATCTAGAAGTCAGGTATCCAGAGGATGAGAGACACCATTGAAGGGGAATTTGTGAAGAAATGTGACTTAAGTGATTTGCCCCATCACAACAGAGAAAACTGGAGTAAGAAGCAAGAATTAACTGCAGTCCTCTTGGATAACTTTATCTGATTTTAAACTGGAGACAGTTTTTCTCCCATCCTGCTATTCCCTCCCTTCTTCCCCAGACATCCAAATGCAGCTAAAAACCCTGGAGCTCTGCAGCAGTCACCCTCACCAGACTGCTTCAGTTCCTGAGCGACCCTGTGCCCTGACCAAGGCATCTGTCAGCTTTTCTGCTTCTAAGGGAGAGGAGTTTCATATGGAAATTCTCAACGCGTGTCCATAATGACAAAGATAATGAAGAAAGACAGAAATGTAAGTGTAAACCCCTTAGTTCTTACATTAAAAACCACTGACCCCTTTTTAAAGATGCACCAGAGAGACGCAGAAGCATGATTCTCTGTGCTCATTACTTATTGTGTGGCATGAGTATTTCTTTGTTTCAGGGAAGAGCTGGCATGCTAGAGTTGTTGCTCATAGAAATCTCTCTGTTGTTTATCAATAGCCATAAAATCAATATTTTTCCTCTCTTTATGAATTCTTAGCCCAAAGATTGAAGTTTCTCTGGTGGCTCCTGGGAACTATTTCTAATTTTAAGCCTCTATCCTTGTGCCTTATACAACAGCACCCGAGGTGTGGAGCAGTCTCTGAAATGTGCTCCCTAATGACATGGTATAGTGCTGAATTACTCATTCCTTCTCCTCTATTTTCAATGCCATGAGATAAGTCAGAAAACAAAGGCAAATGTGCAGAATGTGTGAAATCTGTCTGAAGGTCAAAAAGAGAGGCTAGGGTATGACTTCTGTATTTTCTGGCAAGGTTTAAATACTAAAATATTGTGATAATATATAGTGCTGAGTGGAAAAAAACCAACAACCCCAAATAGTTATAGTAGCAGGAATACTTAACATAGTTCCCAAGTGACCAGAGCCTGATGAGTATTTTAAACCCTGAAGCCTCAGGAATTCTCCTAAACTACTGTTCTGCTCCCAAGGAAAGGGGGGAAAAAGGTTAGAAATCTACACCCTTCTCAGAGTAGCTTTTGAAAAGGTCAGCAAATGGAGAATTTTTTTGACTTCTGGTGTAAAAACTGAATACTGTGAGGATTCTAAAAAATACTTTAACCTGCTCCCAGCTGCACATGCATCTGCACACATATATTACACGCATAAAGTTCTTTAGCCTTAAAGAGAGGATCACATAGGCAGCAGAAAGGAAAGCCTCTCCCACATACTGCTTCACTAAAGTATTTTGATGGGTTTATTAGCACAGAGGAAGAGTTCAATGATTCAGGCTCATTCAGCCTGTGATTTTTTTTTTTTTTTTTTAGCTGAAGTTTGTCCAGAAATGCTACTTACATGATCCTCTGATGGTTTTTATGGTACTTCAGGGACAGAGGCACTGCCTCAGTTTACCAGAGCTGTTAAAATCCTAGTCCCACAAAACTCATTAGACATGACAAATGGCTAGTGAAATGACCTTTTAGGAAGCCAAAGAAGTCACCACAGATCAGAGGTGGCAATTAGCAAGCAACCTTTACACTTGTGATTGCTTCTTCCAGGTGGATGTGTAGGGGTACTGTGTTTTCAAGCTAGGCTTGAAGATGAAACAGAATGCAATACTAGAAGTATTAAATTATGGAAATGTAATTGAATAAATTTTTTCTGAGTGCAAAAAGGGGGGAAAAAAAAAAAGTTAGGAAGGCAAATCTAAAAAAGCAGCAGCTGCTAGTGGGAAAGGGTGTTTGTCCCTGTAGGTCTGCATGCCTCTTTGCTGAGGCTGCCCTGAGCAGTGTCGGGATGGAGGAGAAAGGCATTTCCCCCACGGCGCGCGCGGTGCGGGTGACTGGGAGATACGAGCAAGTCGCTTCTCTACGGTTCAGTTATGTTCCCAAGCTCCATGTCACAGACCAGCCAGGACACAATACTCTCAAGGAAAAGAAACTGTGATATTTTGAAACCATCCTGAGTGCTTTGGAATATAGGCGCTTCACACAGACACTTGATGAAGTGTTTATACCCTGAGAGCCTCTCCCAGGTACAAGTTCCCTTCATCACCCTCCCCTGAGCAGCCGCACAGAATGCTGAAATGGGGTCTGACAGACACTGCAGTTTGCACATTATATTGTCTGAGGATACTTGGGGATGCTCTCATCCTGCTTGCCTGCACTTTGAAATCTATCAGTACCCATGATCATTGCAGAGCGGTTTCCTCGTCCTTTCTGTAGTTGCCTGTGGCAAAAAGAGTTTAATTTTTAAAATGCTCCAAACCCATCTTGTTACCAGTGGGAATGTTTTGGAGAGAAATTGAAAGAAAAAGTAAATTTCTCTAAGTTATTTTTTGGCCATCCTTCTTTTCCTGCCTTCATTCCCCTCATACTGATTTCCCCTCGTGTGTAATAGTTTGATCTGCCATCGATGTTTCTGCAGTTCTGTTGTTTCCCCCTCATGGTTACTTACCTGATTTCCAGTATCTTGTCTTCCGTCTCCTTTCCTTGCTTTAGCACTTTTCCTTTCTGTAGTTAAGTTGGACTCCTTGTTCTTCTCAGTTGCTTGGTTTTATTCCTTTAATATGGTTCTCTCTCTCTCTTCCTCTCTTTTTCTCCACCCCCTTTCTATGTCACTTTTTGTCTTCCCCACTGCCTCTCTGCCTTTCCCCCTCTTCTTTCTTCACCTACTTTTCTCGTCTCTCCCACCCCTTCCAGCTTAATCTTTCTATTTTCAAACCTACTTTCCTGTTCTTTTTCCTTTAAAGACCAGGAATCTCATTCCTTCCTCTCGATTCTCAGCCTCTCCCCGTGCCACCCTCCCCATGCCGACAGGATGCACTCACTGCCAGCTTCGCGCTCTCCCTTCCAGTTGCCACTGCCGCTGTTCCTCACACCTCCTCCCCCAGATAACATGCCATGGTCTAAGCCTTCCTTAAATGAAAAGAGGCAGGGTTGTCCCACAGTCACACCAGCCAGACCCTGGGAAGCCTTTTCCATGCAAGACATCAACGAAAGGACATTTTTCTGACTCGTTCAAGCTTAATCTGGCAAAGCAGAGCAGGGCTCTCCACCTCTTCAAATAACATAGGACTTGCTCTGCTGGATTGGACCACAAGCCCAGCATAGCTGTGCCCTTGTCCCAAAAGGCATCTGATTCTTCCCAGGAGGGTTTTACAGGCCCCTTAGTGATAAATAGAGAATAACCTGCCTGCCAGGAGAGGTGCTTTTTGACACAGCCTGCCCCACCATCTCCCCACACACACGCAGTCTGATGCATGAGCATTTGGGCACGTCAGGTGTCTGAAGGTCTTGAATGTCACGGACGTGTCAAGTTGAGCCTCTGATTCCTGCACATCAAGCCCCAGAGGAGGGTGAATTGGAAATGCCTTCTGGCTTTGATAAAAGCTGGTCTCAAAGAACCAGTGTCAGGAGAGCAAGATTAGCACAGAAGACTCTACTGCCCTGAGAACTGGCTTGCTGTGCACAAGCTTTGGTGGGTGTCCCTCCAGCAATCCTTCCTGGGCTAGATATCTCCCACCCAGAACATAGTTGCCCAGTGGTCCCTATGCAGCAGCTAGTGTAGATCATGAAGCAAAAGCAGTCCAGAGACTAAAAGATGGGGCTGGCAACTCTTCTATCTGATCATTGTTCTGCCACTAATTGAGTTTTCCCTTTGGTCACAAGACAGAAAGTCAGCCTATGCAGGGGCTACCTCTGGAGGCACGTCCTACGTGGACAGTCTCACTCTGAAGTTAAGAGTGTGACTCCTTTTCAAGAGAGCTGAATCATCACTGATGGTTAGTGCAGGACATTCAGGGCACAGTAAATTCCCACAGCAGCTCAGTAAAGTCCTGGTATGGAGAAACCCATAGTCATTTGCCACTTCATTTTTAACTATATTGAAAAACCTTCTGTGACTTCAAAGAAAATGGCAATGTTTCTGGAGTTGTTTCTCCTTCTCCTGCCTGGCAGTTGTATACCTGTGCAGGAATTTTGTGGGAAGGAGAATATCACCATATTCTTTCATCTTTCTGCACTAATTTCCATAAAAACATTATTATGTAAAGTCCTGTTGATTTTATGCTAGTGAAATTGTCAAAGACTTCATAATAGAAGTGCCCCCCAAAAAGTGTTAACGCTACAGATCTAGCTCACGAATGGCTTTGGGATAGGCCAGCTAAGGCTTGTCAGGTGTTTCTCACGTGCTGTAGAGAGGCAGGTCCTGGGAGTGAGCTGTCTGAAGTGTAATCCCCTCCCTCCGTGGCTGACACTTTGCTGTACACTCAGCACGATCAGCTCTGGTTCTCCCCACTCACTCCTTTGTATTTCCTCTTCCATTATCATTCCTGAGTTGCATTCTCATTCTCCTACAGAGTTAATCTCCGAGTCCAGCAGATACAACAGTCTAATTCTGTTGAATCAATGAGGGAGGGGAGAAGATTTCTGTCCAATACATGCATCAAACATGTAAGAACTGTTATGATCTCTTTTTTTTTTTTTTGGTGGTGGTGTTAACTATTTGAATTTTGATGTGCAGAAAGGAAATCGGTGGAGGTGAACAGGGAGGCAAAAGACAGAAAGGTGGGTATAGATGCACAGATGCTTCAGCTAACACCTCAGTGTGTCATCCCTTCTCTACTGCACCCTCTTCAAGGGAAAACAGAGGTGTCATGGCAGCTTCTCCAGCTCCACAGCTAGAGAAGTAGTTGTTTTGCCCATTGGTAAACTGGGAAGAAGGATTTTTCCTCTCCTCCCCAAGAGACTGCTATGCAAAACTTGTATGACTTGAGTGAGGAGAGCAAGTGGAAGAGAATGCTCCCCCAGACAGTGGGAATGAGGAGAACAGCTGACAGCTTGCCATGTGCAGCTTGCAGATCTCAGCAGTTTATGATGCTGTGGAATGGGTTTTGGAGGAAAGGAGGAATAAAGCCAATAGGTGAGAGGAAAATAGGACAACATGTACCATCTTTTGATCAGAGGTAAATAGCTTTCTTGGGGTAAGATTCCTGACCCTCTAAGTAAAAGAAACATAGCAGACCTTATCTACCTGGACTTCAGTAAGGCATAAGAGATGGTGTCCCAGAAGAAGCAAATTAGTGGAAAAGATTCAACTGAAGAAGATGAGGGTTATTAGAGAAATCCTCAAGTACATAAGAGACTGACAGAATTGAGACACTAGTTCCCTAATAGGTTGAAGGGAAGTTATCTGTGAGGCTGCTCTTAGGATTGATCTTTTTAAATATTTTTGTTAATTACCTTGGCACTGGAAGTAGAAATGCTAATGAAATCTGCTGATGGAGCAAAACTGGGAGGTATCGTCAGGGCTGAGGTGGTTTCCAGCAGTAGGAGAGCTGAGGGCTCTTTGTGACTGAGATGATTGAGGTGAGGTTAAATGGGAGAGTGCAAAGTCACACACAAGGAACTTGTTGCTCTGAGAGTACCTGGAATCTCTCTGAGCAATTGGGAGTTCCTAGTTGACAGGACCGAGATGAGGAAAGTCCTGGGTGATGGTCACCGAAGAAGGAGGAACCGGTGATGCTATGTGGGATTGAAAAAGGCAAGTGATGTTTCAGGATGTAGCAGTATTTCCAGCTGCAGTGAGTGGGATTAATGTAATCCAAGAGGATGTGAGACCCCACCAGAATAGTGTGTGCAGTGCTGCTCACCCAGATTCAAGAAAGATGTTCATCCTGGAGCAGGTGTAAAGAAAGGCAGTGGGGTGATCAGAGAGATGGAGGGTGTCTCTCAGCCAAGACTACGTTTACTTATCAGTAGCAGAAGTGACTGCAGAGAGAGATTTGAGCTGATTTGAAAATAGATGTGGTACCACTTTGAGCTTTTCTGCCTTAATTATTTTGCATTGAACTTCATGCTAGTGCAGCTACCCAAAGTAATTAAAAACATGGTGTGATGTGCCTGCAGGGTGAATACTATAAGGCAGCCTGGTTCCTTAGTCTGGCAGAACAAAGGTTAAGAGAGGAGAGATTGGCTGCCTATAAGTACTTTTAGGAACTGGGGGTTGTGAAAGTAAGTGTTAGGGAGAGAGGAGAGCTCCATAAGCTAAAGGACAATGTGGCACAAGAATAAATAGATATAAATTAGCCATGAATGAATTTAGGTTGGAAATCAGAAGGTTTCTAAGCAACAGAGCAGGGAAGGAGGTGCCGGAGCAGCTTTCTAGTAGCACAAGCGAGGGCGGAAACCTAATGAGAAATAGGACAGAGCTTAGTAAGTTTAGAAAAGGTCATTTGTTTTGTACTTGCCTGTTATTCAAAGAGATTGAACCTGATAAGCCAAGAGGTCCCTTTTTCATTCTATTTCCTGTACTCGCCTTATTGCCTTATCAGAGCTGCTCCTTTTCACACAGAAACCAGGTAAATCCTGAATACAGTCTGTGTGATGAGCTTTTCAGCATTGATCCTATGGATATTTAATGGAGGATTCATTCTGTGTCAGGGATTTAAACAAACAAAAAGAGCAAGCCAACGCAATGCATAGAGAAGGTCTGCAAATACACAATAATACAGATGAGAGCTCACATATGAAAGAGCTTCTTCACATAAAACAGGTGTTCTTGGAGCATCTGGCTTTGCTCAAAGGCTGTTTCAAATGCAGGTAGGTCCACTCCCGAGATTTGAGAACTTCAGGAGACTGTCTGAAGGGAAAATGTCATGTACTTTGCTGCCATTCCTGAGGACTTTGTGCTTGGGGAGGATATCAGATTTACTGCATTGGGAAATTTCAGAAAAAAACACCACCCAACGCCATCTGAGATAGAAATTTCTCGTATGTATTTCATCTCTAATGCCTGGCCACAGCACTGCACTTATTCTGATTCTTCATATTGTCCCATGCTGGACAGGCACCTCTAATACCTTCTCTAAAGCACCAATGGATGCTACCTTCCTGGTGAAAGCTTTTCTCTAAAATCCCCATGTGTGGATATGACTGAGAGAGAAGGAGGGAGAGGGAAGTTCTCCGTTACATGTTAGACCTCTGCAGACAGCTTGAAGGCATCCTCCAGCAGGAGGCAAATTCCCAAGGACAGGCTGGGCCCGAGGGAACAGGAGCAGCATGTGACAACGGGCCCCTGAATGAGGGGAAACAGTTTCATAGTCACAGTTCCTCATTTAGTAAAAAAAATTCCCAATTTATTCCATTACAGATGGACGTTTTCCCCTTCCCAGCCCTGAGTACCAAACCAGCACAGAGTGAGAGAAGAGGAAGCAAGAAACAGCAAGGTGTGAAATGTCACCGTGTGTCAGTCTCATTTGCCAGTACAGTTTTCAGCAAGAAAAACTGGAAAAGAATTTCATCTCACTGAGGAGAAATGACTATCTATCCCAAAGTAAATGCTTATTTGTCAGCTTTATGTTACTGGAAATAAAGCACAGCACCCTCACGACTCCTGCTTCTACTTCTCAACTCTGCAGCATCTCAGAGTAGTTACGAATTGCAAATGATAATGTAATTACAGCTCCTATAAACCTTCTCCTTGCTTTACAGGTGGAGGAACCAG